ATGTTACAGTTTAGTACCACGAGAATTACAAACATATAATAAAGTTTCCTAGTGTAATAGATGGATTTAGAAAAGATTAGAGGACATTGATTCTTAAGAAATCATGAATACCATTTACACAGAAACAGGTGTCCTTTCCAGCATTTCTTTCCCCGTGATGCCATCTTTTAAAGATTTAAAGTAAACGTCATAGTCCTTCTCAGGTGGTGGGTTTTCAGGGTCCACTGTGTATTGTTCGCTAAACGGTACCACACACTTCACCTGCAACCCAATTATAGAAAAATATGTCAGATATATACAGCACATCAGAATCACATATAATAACATCATCTACAAACTATGATACATTTTCGTATGCATCTAATCTAACCTACAAATCTTGGAATCAGATAAGGAATGAAATGAAAAAATGTTGTTTCTTTTTCAATGGGATGCACTGATATTGAAAGAAAGAATGTGATTCCTTCCATTTTGTTACTGGGCTATTTTTTTTTTCCTTTCCATCACTTAAAAATGGAATATAGTTTATTTTTATCTATGTAATGTTTAGTGACAGAAATGTTTCCATAATTTTAATTAAATTACCATTTTATTCTCAAAAAGTAACTAGAAAATACCCTTTTTATAAAAAATCTTTTTGGGTTTTGATGAGCTTTTATTATGTTTATTTTTTATTTTTGAGAATAGAGAACTCATTAGGTGTAATTAAATAACTTAGAGTTGAGTTAAAACTATGCACTGTATTTACATATAATACGAAAAATTCATATGAAAATTATTTTCATTCCAAATATGATCATGGAATTTAATGATTAATTCCATTACTTAGTGCACTAGATTCTTTCGGCATACAATTCCATCCAATGAAACACAGTAGAACTACTCAATACGACGTAGTTTTGAGTACTTTAAACCACCCTCTTGAATTTCTTCTAATAAACCATTCAGTCAATCCTACATCGTTTTTGATGATTGTATAGTTCCAGAAAAACCACCAAAATAAGAGCATGTTTAGAATCCATAAAATATCTATTATGGGTATTTTATGATTATGATTGGGGGATAATGGGGGTACTATGTGAAATGGTTTATAAAACTCTAGGTGAAAACAATTAGATCTTAAATTGATATTGGATTTCACAAATGAGAAGGGAAAAAAATATGAGTATTAAAGGTGATAAGAACATAACCTCAAAGGTCTTGTCACATGCATACGGGCTTTCAAGAGCAGCAACACAAATTCTAGCAACCTCTTCTCTCGATATCTTCCCCTGCATAACCGACACATACTAATTAAGACTGTTTGTTTTTTACTTAATGAGCTTAATGGGTTAAGCCCTTAATCTGGACAGCTATACATGATTGCTTTTTTTTTACTTAATAAAAAAAACGGCTCGATGGACACACCAATCTTTTACCTATTTCCCCTTTCTTGTTTTCCTTTCAACTCCTCTCAGGCTAAAATTGATAAAATCTTTTTGTTGGAATGTAAGGGTAAAATGGGGATTTAGTCGAATAAGTGAGAAAGTACATACTGTGATATTGTCTCCTTGATCAAATATGAGGTCAGCTCCTGCAGGTTCCTCAGTTAGTGCACAAGGCCTGACTATTGTATACGGAATCCCACTTTCCCTTATCAAATCCTCGCCCTGTCTCATCAAATCAACCAAACCATGCATGTTAATGTTAATGTTAATGTTGCTGCAGTAGTAAGTAAGAGTACAGAACCTTCAATTTGAATGTTAGAATGGATCCAAGTTCTTTGTTCAATCTGACAGCTGGTGGTTGTTTACTTAGATCAAGTCCAGGTCTTTCAGGTCGTGTCACCCCTGCAGATCCCACATGCACCAATCTGTCCAATCATAACATCTAAAATTAAGTAATTAAACATTAAACCAACCCACAAACAAGGCTTCACTTGTTACACGATACAAGTCTTCTAGGGCATTTACGTCTTTTGCACACACAACGAACCCCTGTCCACCCTAGTTTTACTTTTACCTTTTTGGGTGGGACAAAAAACTTTCAATGACAAAATGAAATTTCCTTCCTTTATTACAGATCATATACTATATACATGTATTTATAAAACTCACTCTAATGCTTGTACCAAACCTTCTAACTAACTGTTATAACCACTATTAATTTAACTAAGTACCAGTAGCATAAACATAACACTAATACATTATTTTCAAGCATGGAATTCATGTATTTTGCACACAAGAGAGAATGAGAATGAGCCCCAGCCTCACCTTTTACTGTGGGACGAAAATTTGCAAATTTCAATTTTGTCCCATAGTACAAGGTCACCATGTTCTGTCATGTGTCCAAATAACAAATGGGGCCTAAGTAACAGTTGAAAGAATATATATATATATATATATATATATATATATATATATATATATATATATATATATTTAAACCTTGGAGTGATGGGATCCGCTATATATGCACGTATGCTTGATACTGGAAGCTCAAAGGGACCTTCTACAAAAGTCGGATTCAGTTTCCCATCGTATTCAAATTTGCTGAACATTAGCTGCACATGTTTTAATTGTTAGCGGATTCCTTAAAAGAAAAAAACAATGAAGGAAGAAAAATTAGGGAAGCATGCCTGTAATGATATGATTTGACTTGGATCAAAGGCTAGGGCATCTACCACCGTTTTTGCCCGAAATACCGGTCTTAAAGAAGAAAATGCCAACCGTATCTACATTACACATTTTTAGTTTATATTTAAGATTAACTGCCAAACGGAACATATAATTTTAGTTGTCCAATTGGACTCAATTTGACCAATAGAATGCCTATTGTCATTACTTTAATTTAGGAAGGTTGTTAAGTTGACCAAAATTTCTAATAGGAAATGAAAAGAAAAAAAAAACCCCATTACATAATAATGGAAGGGGAAAATACAAACACTATTTAAAGTAGTTACTAAACCATTATACTTTTTTCGACCTTTCGGGTTTGGAATAGACATACAACGTACGTTCACCATTTTATCAATTCAGCCAGTAAACTATTGTTTTTTTAAGGTTATTACAAGAGTAGGTCAATGGAAAAACCAATAAAATGGTGAAAGCTTGTTGTATTTTCCCCTGATATCAAAACAAAACCTCGGTAAGAAGGTAGAATGTATTTTTCCAAGTGGTCAAAGAAAGTAGTAAGTGGAAAGAATAGTTAAGTGGGTAAAATCTAAATGGATAAAATGGTGAAAGGTTTTGTGTATTTTTCAAAGTGTATGAGTATGAGTATGAGTTGACTTACAGATTGCCATTGGTCTTTAACAGTGTCAAAACCAATCGTATAACCGACCGTATCCCAATCACGACTAGTGCGAACAATAAGCTTATAACGACGCCCATCACCTTTAACCCTCAACTCCAAACCATCATATCCACACAGATTTTCCGCCACGTCAAAGTTCTACAAACACTCAAATCTTTTTAGATGTTTCTTTTTCAATTAATGGACATACACAAACAAGATTTAATCTGGCCATACGTGTTTGTTTCTTTTTGACAGGAAAGAACGGCATAATAGATAAAGTTATCAAGTCCTAGCTTATCTTTTTTTTTTTTTTAAATTTGCCCTAGTTTATTTTTTCTTTTCATGTCGTAGTTATGTTTTACACATCATTTATCTAGATACTCCCTTTACCCAAATGGCCAAACAATTGAGGGAGACAAAAAGTGAAACAATGCGTTACCTTGGTCCTGATACTAGTAAAACCCCCATTGTTTGCTGTGGAAACAATACCTACGAGACAAGACACACACCACATAATTAGATGAAAGAAGAATGATTGCATAAAGTGCTGTCTAGATAAACCATGTTCCAAAATATTTGAGAAAATGTCGGAAAAGAGAAGGAAAAAAAAATCAATGAAAAAGGTGTAAAAGGTTAGGACTTAATGGGGAAAGCCTCATATCCCTGACTTTCTCTATTAACTTGCTCTTTCCACATTAAGTAAAAAAGAAACCCTCATATATAGCTTACCAAATTAAGTCATGTCCCCATTAAGTGAAAAAGAAACAGCACCTAACTTTTCCACTAATCAAAACCATTTTTTTATTTTTTGAAAAATAAAGTAAACAATATCTTATTGAAAATGAACAAGTGCCAAGTACGACGGTTCTTTCTGTAATTATATCTCTATGATTTATCCAAACCACTTAATTCTTAAAAGACATGACAAAACAGGTTGTACTTAAGATGGAACAAACAAGTGGGACAGGGGCTCTCTTTCAATCTCTACTCTGTGCAAAAGACGTGATTATTCTTTGTTCCACCTTATTGGGTTTGGGTCGTGTTAGTGTGTATATTGTATTATGTTTATATGGTGCAGCCCATTTGTATTTTGTATTGGCTTAGCCCATTTATATCTATTTGTACATGTATATATATTGATATCAATGAGATGATTTGGTTATGGGAAAATACTCTGTCCTATCCTACAAAGCAAATTGACAATTGTTTGTAGCGGACGATGACTACAGAAGATAATTAGTTGATTAAAATATAAAGAATCTAAACTCAACATGTTTTAGTTCTACTTCACAAAAACAAAATATTATTTTTCAACAAACCTTTAAAAAGACCTGTTGGACCACCGGTTTCACTACCGTTTGGGACTATTAGGAAGGAACTTTCACTAACTCCTCCCATCACAACATCATCTAACGCACCCCAAGGCAAGACTCTCGATGAACCATCTGCAAAACAAAAAAAAACATTGTCCTCAAGTGCCTATATAAAGAAACAAACTATCAATCATTTTGATATGTATGGTCAAACAAGTTATTTTGGTGCAAGATCCAAAAGTACTGCATGTTTCCTTTTTTTTTTTTTTTCCTATCAAGTATTTTCTGGAATCTGGATACAAGATTTTTAATTGCAACAGGTTCCAATAAGTAATAATCCTTCATGAGTTGGTGTGGTGTTTGCCCTTTTATACTTTGACTATAAATGAAACACTTGTATTTGCAACTATTTTTGGTAGATAATATGAACTTCAAATGTATTTCTAAAAATGGAACACCTGTTGTATAAACTATAACTTCATGCAAAAACATACCTTCAAAGCCAAAGACTAATTTCCCACTTCTAAGTCCAACATTGTCCTTTAATGCCTTAATTAGATTTTGCATTCCAATGTACTCCACCATTTCAGGGGAATCGCCCTTTATCTGCTTGCATCAATTAGGTCAACATGAACATGAGATGAAATGAATTTGCAAACCAACCAACCTTCCCAAATCCCCATTTGTTACTTACTGCTTTTGACGTTGTCAATGGACAAGTCTTGCATCTTTGCAAAAGGCATGAATGCCCTCCCCCTTGTCATCATTATCATCGAAAAGAGCCCTAGAAAGCCTTTCTAAGTTCATTTCAGTCATGTCCTCTCCAGTCCCATGTGACAAACACAACCTTTAAACAGTTGTTACACTGGACTGGACAGAAGGGATGGGACAGGACCGAAAAAACTTCGAATGAGGAGGGCATTCATGTCTTTTGAAAAAACAAGAGATAATTCATGCCAAACACAGTAATACAACCTGTTATATCCTGTCCTGTCCTGTCATGCATAACAAACATGCTTAAAGAATTGGCAAACTTTTTTTCCAAGCAATAAGTTGTTTACCTCTGGTTCAAAGAATTTGATCCCCTGCAAAGTAACATATAGTTTTAGTTACTTTGTATTATGATCAAGATCAACCCAAATACAAGATAAAAAATTAAGAAAAATGTTGCTAGTTACTTGACTGTATTTGGCTCGATCAGGTGTATCTCCTTCTTTTGGACCAACGATGACTGAAACCGCATTAATCACTTTCTTAACTCCTTTGAAGTAATCAGGAAGCAGAGTGCTTGCTTTTGTTATATCTCCAACAACCTAGAAAATTTTAACAAAATAAAACAAGGCTAAATGCCACAAATAGCAATGTATTTTTGTTTATTTGTTTATTATAGCATCTTGCTTTTATTTCTTTCTATTTCAACATCGTACTTTCAATTTTTTTCATTCTACACAGTTATAGCCTTGTACTTTTATTTTTGTTTTTCTTATTAGAACATTGTACTTTGAAAATCTACTCATATCATTATAGCAGGAAAACTTGCTTTTGTATTTGGATGACATTTTCAAAGCACAGTGGTGTAATAGGAGGAAATGGTTTGGATGACATTATCAAATCACAATGTTGTAATAGGAGGGAATGGGAGGATATATATATATATATATATATATATATATATATATATATATATATATATATATAGGGAAGGGTTGGTT